ATAAAGTTGAACAGTTCAAAGTGTATTTTAATCAGCCATACTTTATTTATTTATTCAAACCCTATTTCCATCTGAATGCTTTTTGTATACAAAAAACAAAATAACTCACCTTGTAACTAAATTACATCATTTTTTTTTATTATTCTGTTTTGTTTTGTAATTCAAGTATGATATCATGTTTACATATTTATACAGATGATATATACTTTCCATTGATATTCTGATACGTCCTTTTTTCTACTCTCTCCCCCTCCTCTCTCTCTCTCTTTCTTACCCTCTCATTTCTATGATGGTTAGTTACATTGATATTTCAATGAGATACTTGAATGCCTCGTTACATCTGTTTGTCCATTCATGTATGTGTATATGTGTGTGTGTGTGTGATATTTACATGAACATATTTACTCACTCATTGATAAAGACTACTTTTAATTATGTAAATAGTGTAGCATTATATGAATGCATTTTATTATGCAACTTATTTGTTTATTCATAGATAATTCTCTTAGTTTCTCTAAATATTTGGCTTTATTCATGGAAACCCGTAAATGTATGTAGGTTGCTTTAGTGTTATGTGTGTTGTGTGTGTATGCATAATTGAGAATAAGAAAGATATAGAGAGAAAGAGAGAGAGAGAGAGAGAGAGAGTAACTACTCAGGTCCTTCTATTTATTCTATTTATTAACTATAATTGATTATATTCACAATTTTTTTTTGTTTCTATCGATATTGTATAAATTGACCTGTAGAGTTGTGATTAAGTAGTAACTTGTAATTAACTAAATTGTTGCATATTTCAACTCTAAGCAAAGATAGATAGTAGCTAGCAGTGGAATGGAGTTTGACGCGCGTTTCGTCCTATTCGAAACTCATCAGCTGAGTGGGTAAGGCGATGGTGTTTGAAGTGAAAGGTACTGGATTCGAATCCAAGAGTGAACATCAACTTTGAGATGTAGGTACATCTAGCTGACGAGTCCCAAATAAGACGAAACGCGCGTCAAATTGTATTCCACTGCTAGCCATTATCCACCATGGCGTATAATGCTTGTGAATTAAGGCTATATCGAAGCAATACACCACAGTATGCACATATGTAAATAAGAGAGAGACTGATCAATTGCAGTCCTAAACATCAATTGGAAGATTCAAACAAGCAACACTACGTGAATTTATTGTTTATTGTAGGTTTCCTAGAACTATTTTATTGATTTATTTAAACACATAAATATTGGTACAAGGAAGCACCAGATACATATGCGCCGCACAAATCTCATTTGATTTGTGTTAGGGCTGTGATACTGCCCGGGTGCTCAAACCAAAGCAGGTGCTTTTCCTAGTGGGCCACACCCTGAGCCTTTCACCTAAAGGTCTGACCTACAGGACAGTAGAGCATCGTGAGGAGATGCAGTCCCATATTAGCCGGTGACCAACGATTGATTCATACGCCATTTGTTCCCTCAGGATCCTGGAACCCATGTGCACCATTGTTTGGAATCAGGGTTTTCCTACTCCCCTAGGTGAACCCTTCGTGTTCATTAACCCAGTTAATTCGCCGTATATTCGCTTTTCGTCCTCTCAATATCCTAAGCAACAGTAAAGCCACGGGAAAACAGTTTCGTCTTAATATATTTAGTGTCCAAGAAATAAATAACTACAATGCTAATGATAATCAGAAGTGATACAGTGATTCCTTTATATTGTTTGTTTGAATCTTTCCATTGATATTTAAAACCGCAAATTATCTATCTGTTTTTGTCACATGTGCATCCTGTGTAGATTACCTTGATGTTGCTATTCAGTTACAAGTATTATAAGCAGAAATGCATGGTAGTTAGAAGTAAATATCGCAATGGCGTTTAAAGTGAACGATACTGGGTTCAAGTCCTAAAGTGAACATCAACTCTGGGATGGATATATATCCTGTTGATGAGTTCTAATTGAAATGAAATGGTCATTCTGAATTCCATTGCTATTTACAATCTAACTGAATCTCTTCAATTGTTTTTTTTTGTGTACATTAAATATGAGCACAATATTTATTGTAATACCTAAATAATCATTCATATATTGTCAGCTAAAAGGTTAAAATGTTTGCACGTATTGTACATATTTCATTCTTGTTCATTTAGTTATAAATGATCGAATTCCATAGTTTTGATCAAATTCAAATAAAAAAAATTAGGTCAAATTAATTCCGATATTTTGACACACTTGATTTCCTTGTTACCACAGTTACTATCATTTGGTATTATTATTATTATTATTATTATTATTATTATTATTATTATCATAGTTGAAAGCGTGAGTCAATTGAAGCTAGACCACCATGAGAAACCTGGAAGCATTTTATAACCGTTTTGTCCTATTATGGGACTCCTCAGTGACAGTGCGCATCCACGATCCCACAATCGTGAGATTCGAATCCAGGACCTACTAGTCTCGCGCCAGAGCCTTTAACCGATAGACCACTAAGCTGAGCGGCATCCAACGGTGTTAATGTCTAACTTCAACTGATCTACAAAGTTGAGCAACCGTTCACCAATTGTTTTCAGTAAGTTCCTATCTCCCAACAGACTTGGTTGAACTCCACTGGTCACTGGTTATCAAAATATTATAACGTATTTATCATTTGAACTCTTTCGCAATCAAGTAGGCTAGTGTTAATAATTACCTACGATAGAAGTGTTTTAAAGAAATATATATTATTGCGTAATGAAAAAAAGACGTGATATCTTAGTTTCATCTTGGTCTTTTACATTCCTGGATAATTGAAAGTGTTTTGCGCTTATAAACAACTTCATTCTGTTCAGTTAAGTTTTTGTCTAAAACCTTGTTTTATAAGCAAAGATGGATAGTGGCTAGCAGTGAAATCTAGTTTGACGCACTTTTCGTCCTATTTGGGACTCGTCAGTTGGATGTATCTGCATCTCAGAGTTGATGTTCACTCTGGGACTCGAACTCAGTACCATTCGCTTCAAACGCCATCACGTTATTCACTTAGCTACTGGGTACTAATAGCCACCTGCTTGTGCAATGGGTGAGAAACGCGCGTCCTAGATTCCACTGTTAGCCACTATCCATTTTCGCTTATGAAGCTTGTGACTTCAGGCAATATCAAGGCAATCCTCACAGGATGCACATATGCTAATAAGAGGCTGATCAATCGCCGTCTTAATTAACAATGGGAAGATACAAGTAAACCTTGTTTGTATTTTCTAACTCATGAGTTCTTATCGTCTGTCTTTTGATCCTTGTTTATGTCTTTTCAGTATTGATTTAGATTCTGTTATCTTATATGATCCTATACTCATTGCTAGTTTATAGTGAAAACTATATTGTTTCTTCAGATTTATTAGCGAATCTATAATTTATGAACGAACCAATCAGACTTGAGATGTCAGGTTTTGGATTTTGACACGGAGTTCATTTACTCATTTGGTTCAATACCATATCGGCATTATAGTTGATATCGGTTCGTGATGAAAACATTAAATCTAAATCTTAAACGTAACGTTCAACCATAAATCCTAATTCTCATTCTTCACACTAATTTAACCTGATTAAGTAGGCAGACATTTCAAGGTCATTTTAGTGTTATTCATAGGTTGTTCATAAATTATAATCTCACCGATTTATTTGTTACCATTCAATACTTCAACCTTAATTCACATTTTACATGGATTTCTATGTGTATTTTCCTTGAAATTTCTCAACATCTTACTGAAGTATTATTATTATTATTATTATTATTTAAACATATAAATATTGGTACAATGAAGCAATAGATACATATGCGCCGCACAAATCTCATTCGATATGTGTGAGGGCTGTGATACTGCCCAGGTGCCCAAACTTAATCAGGTGGTTTTCTTATAGGGCCACACTCTGAGCCGTTGACCTTAAGGTCTAACCTACAAGGCAGTGGAACATCGTGAGGAGATGCAGTCCCATGGTAGCCGGTGACCAACCGTTTTTTCATCATAGTTTAGTCATCTCTTGTATACAGTAACTAAGCATGGATATTTTCATTTTTAGAAAATCTGGGTTGATTCCAGTGCACTGTGTAATTAAGTAATCTATTGGAATATTCGTGTAGTGTTACTATTAACATTAATCTTGAAAAGTCTTGTAAATGGCTTTAGATCCGTGGTTTCTCATTATGACTTCTATTTTATGAATGGAAGATATGTCTTATATATACCATATTTAATGGCAGTTATCTTGTCGATTTATAAACTGTTCGATGTATATAATGTAGGAAATAAATCTACATCTACAACTGCATCTCTTTGCTAATGTGGTATGGCAACTCTAAGTGATGTACTTCCGTCCGAAGTTCTCTGTTGTGACTGACCGACATGTCGAAGTGTAAATGTTTAACACTTGTAGATTTCGGGAACCGAGAGTTCTTATTTGGAGTGTGTAAACGCTTTGTGAAATTTAGAAAAAATCTGTCCGCGCTTCTCAAATGATGTGTTTCTTAAGTTGGAATTACAATAAAATCAATGAAAATAGTATATTCAAATGTGCTATTGTCAATTAGATAAATCTGACGGCTGCAATTTGAAAAAAAAGAACAGATTCACCAGAACATCAAGTGAAGAAGTGTAAATGCTTGCAAGAGCTTTACCTAACTAATGAACAATATCTTCAAATGAATAAAATCGTTCATTATGTAAGTATATAGTAGGATAAAAAAATGTCATAAATTCGCCAAATGAAATATATCACCATGCTGGCCTAAAATGATTGTCTTCTGTTTTAACTACTTATAATCTTAAATTAGTAGTATATTTTATATTGAAGCATTTATGTCGAACCTCAATATACCTGTCATTACTTATTGTCTATATTATTTCACTATATCATTGAGATTATACACTTTACATTTTAAAATGTAATTTTTATCTTTTTTCTTCTTTCTCTCTTACAACATATCTCAATATTTCAATGGAATAATCATCAATTTCATATTTGGCTATTATATGGGTTTATGACAGAATGTAAGTTGATATTTGTATCCGATTTCTTTTACCTTTTTTTATATTTAGGTTAAAGTGAGGTTTATATTAATCCGATTAAAACATCAACTTATAGAATATTGATCTAACAATTAATTTCCGTAATAAAACCATTGATAGGTGTTTATGTTAAATATTATGTACATAGGTTGAATTGATGGATTATCAGTTGGTAGCTGTTTATTTTGATACTGTATGTTAGTGATAAGTCTTGTTAATTGAACGTTATACTCGGTTTCTAAGCTATTCTCGTAACCTTCAAGCTAGAATTACAGAGCAATTTGAACACGAAAGAACAGGCGCAAAATATACGAGAAGCACTTTACTTAAAAGGTTCATTTATGTACAGAAAATATAGGGTTTTTATAGAATTTTAAAAGACCGTTGGATTTTCCTGAAAATTCTGGGATGCTACTAAACATAGTTACTTACTTACGCATGTTAAGCCTCGTGGAGGAGCATAGGCTGCACACCAGCAATCTCCATCCAACCCTATTCCTTGCAATCCTTTCCAGTTCTTTTCAGTTAACATTCATCTTTTTCGTATATGCTTCTATTTCCCGGCGTAGTGTATTCTTTGGTCTTCCTCCCTTCCGCTTCCATTCTGGACCCCAAGTTAGGGCTTGCCTCGTGATGCAGTTTTCTGATTTCCTTAAGATATGTCCGATCCACTTCCAACGTCTTTTCCTAATTTCCTCTTCAGCTGGAAGCTGGTTTGTCCTCTTCCATACTAAGTATAGTAAACATAGTAGCCATGTAGTAATCAGCCAGTTAGAACCTGTAGATGTGACTTTTCATTTTCGCGATAATTCTAGCAAAACTTCTAATCAAACGCTGGTTGGATAAAATGCTTCTTATTATTTTTTGAGTCTTTCTTGTCTATTGCGAGAATTTTTCTGGGTCACCCCAACAGTCAGAAATTCATTTATGCTTTAGTGAGTAATTGTTACTTGGCCACATTGTCAATATAAATTTAGGCGAATAGTTCACGTATGATTACACACTCATAGATAAATTTTCATTCGTAATCACAGTTTGAAGCTCATTTTCATCACGGATTAACAACGATTGTGGAAGAAACCATGGAGCTATAAGACTTGGCCTTTTATAGTAGTAGAGGCGACTCATGGATCGTTGGGATTTGATTATCGATATCTTTGCAACATTGCTCGTATATGTTAGCACTATCTAGTGAGCAATGCTGACAGTTTGGATGCAGGTTACTAGACCAAAATAGTAAATGGGTTTGTGAGTTAGTTAGTTTTCATCGTCTGAGGTGCGTTAGACATGCCTTATGTATCCCCAACAACCGCCTACCTTTGCCCAAAACTTTCTCTAGCTTAGGAGTAGATGAGAATAATGCCAGTTTAAACCAAACCAAAATATGGCATCAATCCATAAAGTTATCGACTGTTGGATTGAGAAGTGTTAGTGGATTATAGCAGCTAATTGTTGTGGATGTTAAGTAGTACGCATTGAAATCGCTCATAAGTACATAGATGCATCCAACCTTTCTATACTATTAGGTCTTGAGCTTTAAAGTTGTTTCCGTAAAACATTACAATTGGCAGGAGTTAGATAACTTTATTTCGAGAATTTACAATGTATTTACACAATACATATACACAACCTTCGATCAATGTGTTCTCCAATCCCAACTGTTTTCTCCATTGGCCTTCAAGTGTTCTATCAACACCGTGCTTTCAATGCACTGGAACTCTTCACTCTGTTCGGCGATTCTAGCAACTTCGACGTCACTTTCTGCTGCACACTACTTAAAAATATCCTCGTGAGTAGCGTTCGCTACATTTCTAGTACTTCTACACTTTAATATTTATCCTTATAACTTCATTTTGGTGTTATAGTGTTGTATGACAACCTGAATGGTGGCAGATTTGTCACAAGTACTACATTGTTTACGATTAACTGAACCATGATACACTAGGTAGCTGTTTAATACGAACTCGGAATGATCCTTCAAACGGATTTGATATGTTCTGGTTTAAAGACATGGTCTTTAAATAATAAACCATATAGGTGCTTCTTGGCTGTCTGCCCAAACACTGGGGTTCTACGTTTTATGACTTTGAAAATATTCTGATATCAGTGGTATTAAAAATGATTTAGGATAGGTAAATGATTTGAGAAAGAATGGATTCATGGGGCGGGAAACAAAATGTATAGGATAATCTTAAAACTTGTAACCCAAAGAAAGACAATTAGTGAATGCATCCAGGTCATTGTGAGTGATTTGATATCATATCACCTAACATCCCCAATAGTAAAAGAATATGATCCAACAGACCCCAGCCAAGTGGTTTGGATCTGCCAACAGTCCGTGACCTCATGGACGGATATCATTTTTTGGTTTGGTTGCCCCTGCCTTTCTACCGTACTACACTAAATAACATTGTGGGTGGAAATGCGGGTAGTTAATACTAGTAACTTACGCATATCGTTCATTTTTAAAGACTACGTTTCACAGCCGGATTAATATAGAAAGAACTGCTTCTCAATGCACTTATCTTTTTTGACATACGGATATCTCTCTTACTTCATAATTGATGAAAATTGTATAAAGCTAACTGAGTTTCATGAATCCTTGTTTAGATTTTATCGTACACCAGCTCACATGGTTTAATGAAGCAACAATAATAGAGGGTTTGATATTCTTTTTTTTACCATTGTTACTACATTACTTCAATCTCTTCTGTTATTTTAATCTTGTCATGCTAATCAAGTGTGGCAACTTTAAACCAACGCCAGGCTCTGTTTTAGAGATTTCTATCTTTCCTGATGAGGCTTCTGCGATAAGTGAAATGGTCCACAATTTCAATTTCTTTACTCTTCATTAGTAGTTAGTTGATGATACTGTTGGGTCTATCCTGAAAATTTCTCGCAAAAGACAATAAAGGCTCAGGAAACACTAAGAAGCATTTTATCTAATCAGCTTTCACCAGAAGTTTTGCTAGAAACATCACAAAAGTGAAAAGTCACATGTAGATTTTCTGATCGATTGATTAATACAGAGCTACTATGTTTAGTAGTATTCCAGAATTTTTTCAGTAAAACTCAAGGACTACTAAATTACTATAAAAACCCTATATTTTCTGTACATAAATGAACCTTTACAGTAAAGTGCTACTCGTATATTTTGCACCTTTTCTTTAGTGTTCAAATCGCTGTGCACATTTAGCTTCGGGGGTTACGAGACTAGCTTGGGATCCGAATATAGCATTCAATAACCAAGACTTATCAGATATAGACCAGTTCAAAAGCAAAATTTTGCATTTTGTATAGGAGAAACACATCTCCAACATGTTTACATTGTAGTTCATTACTACATTTTCTTCGAATTCACCCACTAACATCATTGAAAAAAAAGAATCTACTCAAAAAATTCGAAAACATTTACGTACCAAACTACTTTACATTACAGAAGCTTTGATGATTCACATGTTCAGACTTGATTTGTTAATACAGAAACTATTTTTTTAGATCACTCTGTTTACCATGGTCATAGTGTAGTAAACAAGAGCACGACTGGGGACAATCGAAAGTATTTAGGCACAAAATTACAGACGATCTCATTAAAACCTTATAACCATACAGTAAAAAGTTAATTTGCAAATAAACAACCAATTGTCTCAATCTTGACTGTTCCTTCTGTAAATATCAGTCCATCTTCTTTGATTTCATTTTTTCTGCATTTTCATACCGATCGGGCTTCGTTTTTATTCTTTCCTTTTCGATCTTCTGCCAAAATACATTCTATGCTTAACCATTACCATATACTACTTATATGGATATAAGTAGACCACACCACAATAGTAGTTTTATTTTGTTTATTTAATTGTTCTGTTTCTTCTTCTTCTTCATTATCATTCCAATGTTTATAAAATAAATCAGAAGGGGTTTTGTGGATATTTCAGTATTTTCATAGTTGAAATCATGAGTCAATTGAAGCTAGACCGCCATGGAAAATCTGGAAGCACTGGACGGCCGTTTCGTCTTATTATGGGACTCCTCAGTAGTGCGCATCCACTTCATTTCTAGTTAATGATACACCTTGTTTATGTTTCATTAATCTCCTTGTGTTATAATCATTTTTCTCTATTCAAAATGATTTTTTTTAGCTCAAGTGGATGATTTAGGTAGGATTTTGTTCTGTAAGCTAGATGGTTTGGAGGTAGACAATGATAGATTAAAGCTTAGTACTAACTAATGAAGATTGAGGTCGACAAGATAAACTATGTGGAGAAATTCGAATATTCCACTTCTATCCTTAGTTTATATTGATAACGCCGGGAGATTGAAGCCGATATGAAAAGGATGAATAACAACTGAAATGAACTGGAAAGGATTGCCCAGGACATAGTTGGATGGAGAATGCTGGTGAGCGGTCTATGCTCCTCCACGAGGGGTAGCAGGCGTAAGATAATGTTGTTCAGAAGTACAATGAAAGCTTCAAAATTAAACCATCTAGCTCAGAGAATAGAACTTCATCTATACAGATTTATGGAAATCGTTATTATTCCTTAGATTTTAGATTACAGATTGTACCTAACTTCATAATCAATTAAATTTTTCAGCTCTGTGACCTTTTTTGAATCTTCTTTCTTATATTTTATTTATCTAAAACTCTATTGAGAATTGCCATTTCCTCTTAGTGATTATTTCTTTTATTTATTTAAACACAAATATTGGTACAAGGGGGCACCAGATATATATGCGCCACACAAAACATTGAGAATGGGAAGGTAAAGGGGTAAGGTGCATATATGAAGAAAAAAAAGAACGACAAGAACCACACAGTGTATGTTAATGTAATAATAAGAGTAATAATGGGGAAAATGAAATGTACAACCAGAAGATCTCTTTCAGTTAAGGAAGTTATGATCACTTTATGTAGAAAGGAAAAGAAGGTTACAGCACGACCGCTACTGGCTTCTATTCTGAGCCATATCTGATAACGTTTCTACCTACTGTGTAGCACCATTTCTTGGACCCCAGCCAGGGAGTCACGAAGGACCAACAGAAGCCAGTCCTTTGTAGCTTTCTTTCATACTACGACACCATATCCCAGCGTCGACATATATATATATATATATATATATATATTCATTTTTAATCAACTTCTATTTTATGGTTCTATTTAACTTATATTTTTAAAATATTATAAGTTATGAGTAGTAGCTTTCATCAATCTATATAAAATACAATGAATGGTTATGTTACTCTTCTGAAACCTTCTTTTCTTTCTCTCTCTCTCTTTTCAAGATTAATGTCATTCTTAATCCATGATCATGTAATTGCTAAGTTCATTTATATTATGCAATAATATAAATAACTGCTCATTTTCTCTCCCTCCTCCTCCTCCTCCTCCTCCTCCTCCTCCTCCTACTACTACTACTACTACTACTACTACTACTACTACTACTACTACTACTACTACTACTACTACTACTACCTTTACTATTACTACTACTACTACTACTACTAATAATAATAATAATAATAATAATAATAAAAAATAACTCTCTGCTTCGATCTAAGCACCCAAGTATTGTCATAGACCTCATACGATTAAAATGAAATGATAATGTTGTTATGTGGCGCATATATATATCTAGTACCCTCTTGTACCGATATTTATATGCTCAAATAAACTAGATAGATAAATAAACAAATAACCCTCAATCTATTTTTGTCCAAAAAACAAGTCAAATAAATTAATCATAATTCACTAAGAAAAATTAATCATTTCTATACGTATCTATTTATTATATACAGATTTAATTGGAAATAGTAAAGTAAATAGAATTACGTATTTTTCATAGTTGAAATCATGAGTCAATTGAAGCTATACCACTATGAAAAACCTGGAAGCACTGCTTTAAGGCCATTTTGTCCTATTATGGGACTCCTCAGTGGCAGTACGCATCCACGACCTCGCCTCGCGAGATTCAAACCCAGGTTCTATCAGTCTTGCGCCCGAGCAATTAACCGATTTCATGATTTCAACTATGAAAAATACTTGTTTATTTATTTGTTTATTTGAAGATATAAATAATTGGTACAAAGAGACACCAGATATATATGCGCCACACAAATCGAATGAGATTTGTGTGAGGGCTGTGATACTGCCCAGGTGCCCAAACTGAAGCAGATAGTTTTCTTTGGGGGCCACACCTGGAGCCGTTGACCTAAAAGTGTGATCCACAAGGCAGTGGAGCATCGTGAGGAGATGCAGTCCCATGGCAGCCGGTGACCAACGATTGTTTCATACGGTATTTGTTCCCTCAGGATACTGGAACCCACATGCACCATTGGTTTGGAATCAGGGTTTTCCAACTCCTCTAGGTGAACTTTCCGTGTTCACCAACCCGGTTAATTCGCCGTATATTCGCTTTTCGTCCTCTCAATTTCGTAAATAACAACTGTGGCACGAGAAGGCAGTGAGTAGGACTTGTGTGGCAGAGGCTGTATAGGTGTGGCCATATGAGATTATTTGGAGAGGGAGATCGAACTCTCCCGTCTCTCAGCCGTACCAGGGCATTTGGGGGCAATTACGTACGATATGCACTTCGTCTCAGTCAAAAAGTTAAAATAAGCAAATTTTAATAAATAATCAACATCATAGCGTGATTCTGATTAATCAATCATGGATTTTTAAACAGAGTAATTTGATATTTGTAACAGAAAAGTATTTAATGACATACACTTAATATCTTACCAAATATGAAACTTGATGCTATTATATCCCGACCAGAGTTATGAATAGTAAGCTTTGAGAACTATTAATGGACCATTACGTAACTTGCATTTTTATTGTATAATTATTAACTAATTAAACTATGCATATTCATGTTCCTCTTATTATAAGCTTTATTTTGACTCATAGATTGTTATTATACGATTTGCCGTTCTTGAGTTATCCCCTGTCACCTAGGGGAGTTGGAAAAACTTGATTCCAAACCAATAGTGTACATCGACTCCAGTATCCTGAGTGAACAAATGGCGTATGAACCAATTGTTGGTCAATGGCTACCATGGGACTGCATTTCCTCACGATGCTCCACTGCCTTATGGATCAGACCTTTAGTCAAAAACTCTAAATAAACCACCTGCTTCGGTTTGGACACACAGGCGTTATCATATTCTCCAAACATTTAAAATGAAATGACAATCCTTTATGTAGGGCATATATATCTGGTACCCCCTTGTACCAATTTTTATATATTCAAAATAAAAAATCTTATTTCTTAGGTTAAATTGTAGACAAGTCGATCAGAATGTAGTTTACTTTTAGGTTCTCACATACAATCCAAATATCGTACATAATAAATAGTAGAAATATCTTGATATACTTCTCAAAACGTTTAAAATAATAGTGTCAAACATAGGCAGGCAGAGACTATCGTTAAATTCAAACCTTAAACTGTTAATCTTAACTCTAAGTAGGTACAATATAATGACTTTAAATTCTAATTGAGTCCTTTTTACAAGTTGTAAAAGGTAACCAATCTATATCCATTAGAAAAATTTAATATGTCACTGTCTTTGTGATTCAAAGACAGAATAACTCGTAGAAAATATTCAAAAATGTATTCATTATGTAAAACCTTTTTACATTTTGCGACATTACTGTTTTTTTCTTTCAATAATTTGATTGGCTACCTGCTTCGGTCTGGACACCCGGGCAATATCATAGCCCTCACACAATTGAAATGAGATTTGTATGGCGCATATTTATTTGATGCTTCCTTGTACCAATATTTATGTGTTTAAATAAATAAATAAAATTTGATTGGATAGAATTTCATCGCGGTTATTTTAATCACATCCCTATACAATATTGTCGTCATTTTCTGCACTGAATAATTTTGTTCATATTTAACTAATTTAGGAGAAATTCGCCAGATTTCATATTTCTGTGAAACTTTTAGGTTAACCCTTATTTACTTTCTTTTGAAAGTGTAATGTTGTTTTGAAAATTTGAACATTATTGATTCTGTGGTGTGGGTTACTGATATCCACATAAGTAATATATGGTTATGGTCGGGCATTGAATGTATTTTAGTAGAAGATCGATAAAGAGAGAACGGAAACGAAACGCAATCGGTATGAAAATGCATGAACAATAATAATGATAATAATCGGAGGCGATAGACTGGTATTTGCAGAAGAAACGGTGAAGATTGAAACAATTGATTGTTATCTTGCCAATTAACTGTTCACTATACATCGTTCTCATATTTTAATGAGATATTCTGTAATGTTGTGCAATGTTTTATGGTGTAGGAGTAGGTTGGAACAAAGCTAGGGGCTGCCAGACCAAAACGTAGCACAAATCCATGAAGTCACTGACAATTGGACTGAGCCATGTTGATAGGTCTAGACTATCTGGTTGGGATCCGCGATATGATAGGAATCGATGGTTAGCAACCTTGAATGACATGACTCAAAATGGTTTGCAATGGCGTAGGTGCATCCACTCTTTGTGTTCTACCAAATTCTAATCTTCTGAATTCTTCGTGTCTCAATCTGTTTTCTCTTTCCAAATTTATTTCACTGTATTAAACTCCATGAATAACATCTTCAGCCCCTAATCTTTCGGATTACTGCTTATACTCTTACTACTTCTACCACTATGGGATATGAATGGACAACTGCATCTCTGTGTTAATGTGGCATGGGAACTTGAACTGATGTACGTACGTACGAAGTTCTACATTGTGACTGACTGACTGACTGTGGTAAATATATTCGATTGTCCCCACTATATTTTGTTCACTACAATTCTACTTAGTAGTACTGTAAACAACTCTAGGCTTTTTGTTACTTAGTTCCAAGCTAAATTTTTTTTTACTCCAAGGACTTCTGATACTACTGCAATGTAGGTTGAAGAAAATTTAACTGTGAACGACATTTAAAGACTTTTATTATTATTATCATCATCATCACTAAGTCACATTTAACCCTGTAATTTGATGTTAAACTTTCACTTCTTAGATGCTCATGAATATTTTTGATACTGAATTCATTGTATTGTTAAACACGAATTTTATTATTCTTTGTCGATTCGTTTGTATTTGTGTTTTGCTTAAATTCTTTTTTTTTTCTTTTTTCAATAGGGGCGTACACCCTTACATGTCGCTGTTGTTCATTCACAACGTGTTACTATTCGTGCTTTAGTTGAAGATTTCAGTAAGTAGAGTTTTTTTTTCTCAAATTCAAAAAGGTGAAGAAATTAGTATTTACAGAACTACCTACAGAATGTATGTCATTTTATTATCTTCTTACTTATACTTGTTACTCCTAGCGGAGTTTAAACACCCCAACCAGCAATCTCCAATCTCTTCAATCCTGAGCTCTTCCTTCATACCTAGTGTTGTCCACTTTTAACTTTGGCATTTAAGTCTTCTCAGGATACTCAGGTCTTTTCATGGGCATTTCTCTACGACCAATTGCAGCCTTTTGTGAAACTGATCTGCATCGTCTTCGTTGCTATCATTAGTGGGTGCATAACACTGGATAACAGTCATTGTAATCTCTTCCTTCTTTGTTTGAAGGATTCTTTGATAATTGTGGATCCATGAGATTCTCATCTTATATGTAGTTTTCGTGCTTCTTTAGACAGCATCAGACTAACTCCCTGTTTGTACGAAGCATTTCCTTCTTCATGACTAGAGTACGATAGCATCTCTCCCTAATTTATCCTTTTATGTTCAGTTTGAGTACAATGGGTTTCACTTATTTATTGGATAGAATATTGTATTGCAGAACTACTACTAAGTGTTGAGAATTCTTCATTAGTAGTTTTAAGCCTATAAGTTCTTTCAAGTTGATTAAAAAGATTCTAGTTATTTGTGCAATTTCGGTGAAATCATTTGACGTTTCTTAAAGCGTCCTAATTTGTCGCAATATTTAACTTATCTAAATAGTTCATTTTTAGGGTCAATATTCAGTGGAATCTGGAGACAAACTATTAATTTAATCAGATATGTTTAATAAATCTATGAGACTATTGCTGGAAAAGAAACAGTTACCTCAATCTGAATATCCTTAATAGTATTTACAGTCAGTCAGTCAGCTACAACGTACGACCAGGCACATATATGCATCGGTCCAATTTGCCATACCTCATTCCCGATCGTTGCTGCTACCTTGACGTGGTGGTCGGGCTTGCCTATCGTGATGAAGCAATCGAGCTATGCTGGCTGGAACAGTCGTTCCTCGAGGTCCTACCATGCCAGACAGGTCGGTTGAAGAGCGGTGAGACTAAAAGCAGCAAACCCAAGGTCCGAAGGCGAAGTCGTACTGCTGACTGTACAGAGGTGTGAAGGCAGTAAGGTGTTTCCTTCAGACAACCAGCATGACAGCGAGGCTGCCTTCCCACAAGGAGGGGTGGGGTTAGAAAAGGTCGACCCTAAAAATGCACACCTCGCCTTATCCCACGGATTTCCGTCTCCGGCGGTAAGGTTTTTTTTGAAGAACTGAGCTAACACAAAAACTACCCACAAAAAGGTCGTGTGTGACCGACCTCAAGCAGTTGTCCCTTGGGCACTGCGGTCACGCTCTCAGGTCATTAAGACCACTCCTAACCCAATTTCCTTTTCAGGTACCTCTAGAAGAATCCTTCCACGGTGTGGGCAACCGGGAAGTGATAACTGCCCTCATACCTCTAACAACACTCAAGACCACTGTATTCATAATCAATCTTCTTCTTCAATTCTTACTATTCCTTCTACCTTGACTTTCAACACTAAACTTCCTCTCTCGGTTTCCTCCTCAAGTGTCACCATGGCCAACGATTCTAGTGCGCGAAACGCTGTCCCAGGTCTACTTAAACCTCGCTCCAAACTACACGTTGGAGCCTTCAACGTACGTACCCTATGCCAAATCGGTCAACAGGCCTCCTTAGCTAAAACCCTAGAATCTCGTACCATTGATGTATGCTGTGTCTCCGAAACACGCATACAGGATCCCAGTGTGGTCATTCACTTGACCTCACCTCGCCAAAATGGACAGCCGACGAAATACACCCTCCGTGTATCTGGCGACCCGTTGGCTAGTTCTCGCGGACTTGCAGGTGTAGGCATAGCACTAAGTACAAGGGCAGAACAGGCACTACTAGAATGGATCCCCGTTAACAGTCGCCTGTGTGCTGTCCGGCTAAATGGCTCCATAAGAACTCGGAAGGATAGGGATACACGTCGTTGCCTTTTCGTCGTTTCTGCCTACGCTCCCACTGACTGCAGCCATGATGAAGTAAAAGATGACTTTTACAGAAAACTCTCTGAGCTTCTTCAGAAAGCTAAGCGCTCAGACATAGTAGTCGTAGCGGGTGACTTTAATGCCCAGGTAGGCAGCTTAAATCAAACAGAAAGACATTTAGGTGGGTGTTTTAGTATTCCGGCTCAACGAACCGATAATGGTGATCGTCTGTTGCAACTATGCTCAGACAATCGTTTATTTTTAGCAAGCACTAATTTTAAACATAAGGAGAGACATCGTCTAACATGGCGACCACCTGCATCAAACCAACGATGGACTCAAATAGACCATATTGTCATCAGTCATCGTTGGAGAGGCTCAATAGAAGATTGTCACTCGTATTGGAATACTTGTTTAGACTCTGATCACGCTTTAATACGAGCACGCATTTGTCTGCGCCTCAATGGACGCAGGAAAAGTACACTAAGAAGACCCATTAGGATTGAACTGGAGGACGAGAAAGCCAAATGCGAATTCCAGAAACAACTGAGTTCACATCTAGGCAGTTCTGTAAACGAGACTGACCCAGATGCTGCTTGGAAAGACATACGAACAGCTGTGGAAACGGCAGTAACATCTATTAGTCATTTAAACCATAGGGCTCCAAAAAACCAGTGGATTTCCTCTAAGTCTATTTCACTGATGGATTCGCGTAAACTCATCCCATCAGGCTCTGAACATGACGAAGAGCGTAAAGAAATTAGATCTAGGTTAACTAAAAGCCTAAGGAACGATCGTGAGCAGTGGTGGGCAACGAAAGCAAAAGAGATGGAAAAGGCAGCGGCTGTAGGGAACACCAGGCAACTATTCAGACTAATAAAAGAAACCGGAATTAAGAAGTCAAGTGTGAGTGAGACAATCTCGGAAAAAGACGGAACCCTTATCTGCTCTCAACCTAAACGTTTAGAACGATGGGCGGAACACTTTAAGGAGCAGTTTAGCTGGCCTTCAGCTACTGCACAACTACCCACTATTCCCAGAAAACCTGAATGGAACATTGAAGTAGGCCCCCCGACCCTACTTGAAGTTCAAAAGGCTATAGGTAATCTGAAACGAGGAAGAGCAGCTGGTCCAGATGGATTGGCTCCAGAGGTTTTTAAATACGGTGGTCCAATTTTAGCGATTAGGTTGACTAATATTCTGGCTAAAATCTGGGAGACGGATGTAATCCCATCCGACTGGTCACAATCATTGATTGTCCCAATATATAAAAAGGGGTCAAAATCATCCTGCGATAACCATAGAGGGATTAGTCTGACTAACATAGCATCTAAAATACTAGCCTCAATAATTATCGGGCGCCTAACTAAGACTCGTGAACTGCAAACACGAGAAAATCAGGCTGGCTTCAGACCTGGTCGTGGCTGTATCGACCACATATTCACCATTCGTCAAGTTTTAGAGCACAGACACGCTTATCGGCGTCCGACAATGATAGTTTTTCTTGACTTGAAGGCAGCATTTGACTCTGTAGACCGAGAGATTCTGTGGCAGTGTCTGTCATTAAAAGGTGTACCTGAGAAGTACATAAACCTTGTGAAGGCTCTTTACTCGAACACTATTAGTCGAGTGAGAGCTTATGGCGAACTGTCATATGATTTTACAACCTCAAGTGGTGTCCGTCAAGGCTGTCCACTATCCCCATTTTTGTTTAACTTCATTATAGACCTGTTGCTGGAAATAACACTCTCTTCGACTGAATCTACAGGAATTGATCTCCTACCAGGGGGACCACTAAGCGACTTAGAATACGCAGATGATATAGTCCTGTTTGGTGAAGACGCTGGCAATATGCAGAGTCTTCTGTTAGAACTCAGTAATAATGCCAGGATGTTTGGGATGCGTTTCTCCCCATCCAAATGTAAATTGTTACTCCAGGACTGGCCTGCGTCAACACTCGAACTAAGGATAGGAAGTGAAGTAGTCGAACGCGTCGACAACTTCACTTATCTTGGAAGTCTGATCAGCCCTAATGGGTTGGTGTCAGACGAAATCTCAGCACGGATTCAAAAAGCTCGTTTGGCTTTTGCCAACTTACGTCACCTATGGCGTAGACGAGATATCCGTTTATCAATTAAGGGACGAGTATACTGCGCATCAGTTCACTCTGTTCTACTTTACGGCTGTGAAACATGGCCATTAAGAGTAGAAGATGCTCGTAGGTTACTAGTATTTGACCACAGATGCCTTAGAAATATTGCTCGCATCTGCTGGGATAACCGGGTAAGTAATAGTGAGGTTAGACTTAGGGTATTAGGGAACGATGGTAAATCAGTTGATGAGGTTATGAATCTCCATCGACTGAGATGGTTGGGCCATGTGTTACGTATGCCTGAACACCGATTACCACGACGCGCTATGATGACTAGTATTGGGGACGGTTGGAAGAGAGTTAGGGGCGGCCAAACCAAAACATGGCATCAGTGTTTGAAGTCACTAACTTCTAGTCTGAGCCATGTTGGCAGATGCAGACTACCTGGTTGGGGTCCGCGTGACTATCGTAACCAATGGTTGTAGACTCTGTGTGACATGGCTCAGAATCGGTCACAATGGCGTAGGTGTATACACTCTTTATCTTCCCTTAAACCTTGAGACTAAAATTGCTTCATATCTCTCTTCCTTCCTGTACTATATCCTTATATACAACCTATAATTTATATACTACTACCAACACTAGATTAACTACTATGAATCCGGTGTTCCTCTTGTTGTGCTAACGAGGTATGGCAACTTGGACCGATGCATATATGTGCCTGGTCCTACGTTGTAGCTGACCTGACCATACCTCATTAGCATAACAAGATGAACACCGAATTCATAGTAGTTAATTTAGTTGTGGTAATATATAAAAGAAAGGTTTTATATAAGGAAGGAATAAAGTTATGAAGCAATTTTAATCTCAAGGTTTAAGGGAAGATAAAGAGTGTATACATCTGCGCCATTATGATTGATTCTAAGCCGTCACCTAGAGTCTCTAACCATTGGTTACGATAGTCACGCGAACCCCAACCAGGTAGTCTGCATCTACCAACATGGTTCAGTCTAGAAGTTAGTGACTTTAAGCTCTGATGCCATGTTTTGATTTGGCCGCCCTTAACTTTCTTCCAACCATCGCATCTTTGTTTTCTCCGATATCGACTAACTCTCAACAAAAAAAATTTGTTAAAAGAATTAATAGTAATGGAAAAGTACATCTGATTGTAATCAGTTGTTATGGCAGCTCGAACTGATGTACGTACGTACAAAGTTCTACGCTGTGACTGACTGACTGACTGACTGAGTTGTTACCAAATAATGACATTATATTTTCAATATTGTACTGTATAAATGTATGTAATGGTTCTTTTTCTTCTTTTTCAGAAGCTGATCCAACTTTAATGGATTTTTCTGGTTACTTTCCATATATGCTACTTGAGAATAATTTGAAAACTGAATATGAACGTATGTCTATTTGTTACTTGTACCTAACTTTTAAGTAATGATAATTATTCTGATATTATTATTATTACTACTTTGAATTACTTACTTACATAAGCCTGTTACCCATCGTGAAGGAACCACTCACCAGCATTCTCCGTCGGACTCTGTTCTGGGGAATCCTTTCTAGTTGCTGTTCATTATTTTGATGTCTGCTTCTAATTCCCGACGCACCATGCTCTTTGATATTCCTCTTTTCCAAGTTAGAGCTTGCATCGTGATACAGTCTGATGGTTTCCTCAATTTGTGTCCTATCCACTTCTAACGCCTTTTCGTAATTTCCTCTTCAGCTAAAAGCTGATATGTTCTCCTCCACAATAGGCTGTTGCTGATGGTATCTGGCCAACGGACATTTAGTATCATGAATAGACAATTGTATATAAATACTTTCTTTTTTTCGATGATGGTCGTGGTTGTTCCCCAAGTTTCAACTCCGTACAATGGAACTGTTTTAACGTTCGTATTGAAGTTTCTGACTTTGATGTTGGTCGACAGTTGTTTTGAGTTCCATATATTGTTCAATTATAGGAATGTTGTTCTTACTTTCACAATCCTTACCTTCACATCTATTATAAACTTATTTATCGAGTCCAAAGTACTGTACTGTTTGAAATAAAACTATCGCTGGTGGTAGTTAGTGAATGAGTGAATCAATTTAATTTTTCAAACCACTGTTAACTTTTAGAAGAAAACGAATATATGACTTTCTTGTTGAATGTTGATTGTTTTAACCACATAATCTTACACATGTAAAATATTCTCTCAATCAGGCTGAATGTTATTAGTTTTAGATTACTAGATTAGTAAGTAGCATTGATCTTTTCTCAGAGAAAAAATAATGGTCGGTCATTTCGTCCTGCTGTTGGGGACTCCTCAGCAGTGCGCATCCACGATCCCTTCTCGCGAGAATCGAACCCATGACCATGGTGGTCTAGCTTCAACTGATTTATGATTTAAACTATTGAAATCACTATAATATTCACAAAAACTCCTTTCTGATATTAAATAATCAAGGATTAAAAAAACGAATCATTGAATATTCTCGGCTGAACATAAAAAACGTAAACAGAATCTCAGTGAAATAACAAATTACATGCACACACACACACCTACACACATATACAAACTAACACGATGGAATCATTCAAATTCATTAACTGGTGACTAGAAGTGGATAAACTGAAAATCTCGTCAATAAAATAACAATGAAGACGACCACCACCACCACCACAACAACAACAACAAAGGTATCAAAACAACATTCAGAATGATTGATGAGATGAATGAAATAAAAAAAAATCTACAATCTATCAAAACATATACAGATTGAAACGACCAGGGTATATATATATACAAAGCCATCAGCTTTAATTCCACATAACAGGAATTAACATTACCTGGTTTTACTACTACTACTACTACTACTACTACTACTACTACTACTACTAATAATAATAATAATAATAATAATAATAATAATAATAATAATAATAATAATAATAATAATAATAATAATAATGTCCGTTTCCAACTCAATTCACAGATATTTTAAGAGAAAAAGGGAAACTATCGGATAATTAATTAAAAATTATATGTGTTACCATAGATATTGACATGTATCAGTATGAAAGTGTGTGTGTGTGTGTATGATGAATAAGTTGATGGAAGAACTCGATTGAACATAGATAGAAATTAATGTAGGGGTAAATAATAATTTTAATTAAAATCAAGAATACTACTAGTACTACTTATAATAATAATAGTAGTAATAATAATAATAATGACAAAAATAAAAATAAAGAAATGACCAACATGTATATGAGCATTATATACATACATATCTTAATATATTTTGATGAATTTAAATAATACATGTCATTATTATTGTTATGAAAAGTATAACCCAAAAAAGAAACAGAACTAATAATTATTTGTGTATAAGGAAAGATAAATAGTAACTAGCAGTGGAAATCAGGACGTACATTTCGTCCTAATTGGGACTTGTCAGCTGAATGTATCTGCATCTCAGAGTTGATGTTCAATTTTGCACATATGCCAATAAGAGACTGATCAGTTTTAGTTTTAATCATCAATGAGAAGATACAAACAAACAATACTAAAAAAAAAATTTAATTATTCGTATAATTTTGTAATTTATTAATGTTGACATGTATACCCATTGGACTCATTAGCTTAGTGAATAAAACCATGGGGCATTTAAAACAAAAGGTAATATGTTTAAGTTCCAGATGAGGATGATCATACATCCAATTAACGAGTCCCGAATAGGATGAAACGTGTATCTTAAATTTCACTATAAGGCGCATATCTATCAAAAGGTTTTATGTTTAGTGAATAGAAACATATATATTATTGATAGTAGCATAAGTTCCGGCAAATGCTCTATTTTAGGCGATTAAATGAGTGGACACTTTTCTATGTGAACTGTAAAGAGTCAAGTAAATTCATATTTATTCACTTTAGCTTAACTGATTCAAGTGACTAACCCGTTAAATGATCACTTTCTTAAAAGCATTCGAAAGAAGTTAGCAACACATCTAACTAAATAATCGAATTATTCATATATTTTGCCTCTTTTTTCATTCGTTTCTTATCTCTTCTTCATAACTTATTACTATTATGTTCTCAACTAACTAATTCCATCTCGGTATCTTCCTCAGACACTAATTGATTTACATACAACACACAGTGGATGATATTAAACTATAAAATGTTAAAATCATAGTTATACATAAACAGAACAAAACCGGCTATGAACCAGGCAAACTATAAATAATCAGTTAGTAATAATTTTTAGAATGAAACCCATTGTATCAGTTAATGAATCAAAATGAAGCTTACAACAAATGGAATACAGAAATATAGTATACCAGTTATCTAACTTCTCACTGACTATATTCTTTGAAGATTGCTCAAATCATAAGTAGGGAGTGAATCTAGTTTTTTAATTTCTACTTGACAAGAATATCTGAGATTGAGTATTAGTTTATTACTCTATGAACCAGTTCAGTGGTCTATCGGTTAAGGGCTCTGGCTCGTAACTGGTAGATCCTGGGTTCGAATCTCGCGAGTACGGGATTGTGGGTGCGCACTGCTGAGAAGTCCCATAATAGGACTAAACGGCCTTAAAGCAGTGCTTCCAGGTTTTCAATGGTGGTCTAGCTTCAATTGACTCATGATTTCAACTTTGAAATATACTGAAATCTCCAAAAATCCCCTTCTGAACCAGTTCTATTGTTTTGTATGCATGTAAGTAGGTGTTGAATGTTTGTCGTTGTTTACTCTTACTAACTTTATTAAAGCTGAAAGATGGTTGGAATACTTTTGAATAATTGATGAATATAGTGAAATACTAACATTCAATGTCATAATGTTAATGATTCTTAACTAAGTAATCAACAAATTCATATTCTCACAGTTGAAATCATGAGTCGATTGAAGCTAGACTACCATCGAAAACCTGGAAGCACTAGACGGCCGTTTCGTCCTATTATGGGACTTCTCAGCAGTACGCATCCACGATCTTCAATTGACTCATGATTTCAACTGTGAAAATACTAAATTCTCCACATAACCTCCTCTGATCTAAAATTCATATTCATTTAGTTATTTTTTTAAAAAATAACTCTTGAATTTCAAAGCTTCTGATAACCAAATAATTACGCAAGTTAGAATAATGAAATAGAACTTTATTGTTCTAATGGATTTTTGAGTTTAAAGATTCGCTTATTGAATTCATCCCTTATTATAACTCAAAGCTAAGATAATGATATAACCACACCCGGAGCCTATGATCTAAAGGTCTGATCCATAAGGCAGTGGAGCATTGTGAGGAGATGCAGTCCCATAGTAGCCAGTGATCAACTATTGATTCATAAGTCATTCCTTTACTCAGGATACTGGAGCCAGCCCATGTGCACCATTAGTTTGGAATGAGGGTTTTCCAACTCCACTAGGTGGACCCTCCATGTCAATCAACCCGTTTAAAGCACCGAGTATTCACTTTAACAATACTTGTCCCGGTATAACATCGTGTTTTATTTTTACTTAATGTTTCTTTTTCTAGCTTTTTTAACACATGGTCGACTTCAACGAATTCGAACTGCATGTGAGTTTTTTTCCTTTTTTGTTGTTGTCAGTTTCTTTTAATATCATATTTCTCTTGTACTTGTGTTAATAGTTTTAAAATGATTGATTTATGCCACCCATTCACTACCTATATAATGTCAAAATATCACTAGCGGGAAGAATATTTCGAGTAGTATGTAGGAACGATTAGTCTTAATCATGCGGTATTGTTTTACTTAGCTTAGTTATGGGTAATTCATGATTCGAACTTAATTGTTTGATTAGAATGGATGGGAAGCTCGTTTCTTCACAAATCGATTTCATTTTGTTAAGGATTCTGTTTTGACTTTTAAAAGAAGGACGATGCCAATTCGTTATGCTTTTATGTCCGGCTTTTTATCACGTGCGTTATTCACCAATCAAAATACGACTTTTCCAATATCAGTACTGTGCCACTCAATGACGTTCGACCAGTATGAGTAGTCGAGCTTCCTTATAGGTCTCTTGTCCGCTCAGCGCTTCCAATTGAGTCCAGAACACCAATTACAGCTTCTGCTATGCCAACCCTTTATTTCAAACATACTCGGTTTATATACCAGACAGACAGATCGCATCACACCATAAAATAGAAAATAATATTTGTACAAGATCAAGTCAAATGTGGCTGTGAATAGGGGGAACGGTAATTAATAAACTGAACAGTAAATTGTATAATAATAATAATAATCCATAGGTCAAAATGAAGCTTATAATAAGATGAATATAGATGTACACAATCTAATTACTCAATAGTTAAACAATAAGAATATATAGGAAGAGAATGATCGTCCATTAATAGGTCCCAGAAGTTATCCATACTTACTTCTTCACAGATTCAGCTTTTTTATGTCCACAATAATTAGTACTTGTCTATAGAGTCTGATTATTATTCATTTGCCATATGAGCGATCAGACCGATGACCCTATCTGCAACGGTTAACACAAGTTATCTTAAACGGTTGCCAGCAATTATAGCTCTTATCGGTTAATACAGCTCTTCCTATGCCTTATAATCGATCAGAACACGAAAACAACAAAAAGATTTAGTTTCTGTTATTGTATTGTCATTCTGATTTAAAAACTCATAGATTTATACGCATTAATTACAAGACTAGCATGAAACATAGATAGGCAATCATATGTGATATGTATATAAATAATCAACGGAAGTTTAGGAATAGTATGGGTTTTGGATTTCATTAAAATCACTGGTCAATCTAAGTAAGAAAATCACTGAAGACTTGGAAGCACTGGACGGCCGTTTCGCCCTAGTTTACGACTCCGCAGCAGTGTTCACCCTTGATCCCGTGCACACGAATTGAACCCAGAGCCTTCAGTCTCACTTGTAAGTGCCACAACTGAGCCGAGATCGACTGATGCACAAATGTAAATTCAATCAGTCCAGGATATTATGTGACCATCTTGCAGTGTCGTGGATGTGAAACATTAAGGTGTCCAACACTAGGACGAAACGATTGCTCAGTGCTTCCATGTTGTTAATGGTTGTCTAACTTGAATTGATTCGTGATTTTCATCTAAAACATATATCAACATTTAATGAGTAAAATGAGGCTTACAACATAAAAATGCTCTAAACCAAATATGTAACTATTAGACAGTTAAAATATATACAATAATGATCCGTAAAGTTGCCTCTCTCAGTTATTCACCTCGATGTAGCGCGTATCAGTTAACAATTGTCAATAAGACATAAAATCTTGAATGAACTGATGCTCTTCCTAATCAATATGAACTCACATCACACAATGTCACTCTATCAGATTTATCACCGTTGAGAAATATATATTCCAGGTGCAACGGACCATCTGTGAGACTAAGATTTACACATTGAAAGGCTGTGGATTATGAATTAATATGATGTCTCTTTCCTCGTTTCCTCTTCTTAATCACCCCTTCCCTCTTCATATCTCCTTTTTACGACCCATTAAACTGACTCCCATTCAATGAACGTATAAATATGCTATGAACATAAATCTTTTATACTACCTAGACTATCCCTATTTGTGTGATCGCGATAATAAGAAGCCGAATACGGATTGTGTTGGATGAATTTGTTCCATGCACTTATTCATACAGACATACATTAAGAATAAAAAGCGGGAAAACAAACTAAAGCGGTGAAGGCTAATGAGCCAACTCGTTTTGATAAAGTGTAACTCAATATTTATAGCTAGACTAAACTAATCTAAAGACATATGATGAATAAACTAAGCTATATATATACACACACACAAACAAAAACAATCAAGATGAATGAATGAATAATTGACAGGGTTAAAAACGGACTCAAGATAATTAAATAAATTGATCTGTTCAGAACCTGGTATAACCCACTTAGGCTTAACATAGTACTAGTCATTAAACTCTCATAAAAACACATTCTGTGGTAATCTTCATTATTTATCGTCACTATTGTCTTAGAAACTCCGCCTGTAGCTCTTCTAGCCTTACTGCCGGTCCCAAACCCGGGTAAAGGAGGAGGGTTGAGCATGAGGTTAGCGACCCCATCTCGTAGAAAACCAACTCGCTAAAAAACGCTAACCAGAAAAAATCATTCAAACCATTTAAACTATCAGCAGTGTGCATCCATGATCCCGCACTCGCGAGATTCGAACCCAGTGCCTACCAGTCTCGCGCCAGAGCACTTAACCGATAGACCACTGAACCGGCCGGCATCCAACGGTGTTAATGTCTAACTTCAACTGATCCACGAAGTTGAGCAACCGTCCACCAATTTTCTTCAGTGAGTTGATATCCCATGACAGACTTGGTTTGAACTTCAATAGTCTCTGCTTCTCACTAGAACTCCTGGATCTACTTCTCGAAGTCAGTCCTGGGTTCGAATCTCGCGAGTGCGTGATCGTGGATGTGCACTGCTGAGGAATCTCATAATAGGACGAAACGGCCGTCCATGGTGGTCTAGCTTCAATTGACTTACGCTTTCAACTATGAAAATACTAAATCTTCACAAAATTACTTCTTATTATATATGTGTCAATAAAAGATCAGAAAAAGGAAATTATCACCTACAGAAAATTGACTACCACTTTCTGATAGGTTAGAAGTACATTCCACAAAACTCTGCCCTGGGAGTTAAAGGAAGAATTCTGACACCTCATGATGAAAGCTGAGATTCTTCGGAAGTCACGAACCTGATGCCCCTTTTAATAACCAGAGAAACACTCTTTATAGGTATTTTATATTGTCTTATGATTCATAATAGTTGTAATATTTCAGAATATGAAAAAAATACAATCTCTGATGAAGATTTTTTTACTTCAATGTCCTTGTGTTTCCTTTACTTTTGTCAGTTTCTTTTTCTTTTTTTCTTCATCATTATAAAACATTGTGTACGTAAGTATGTATGTATGTATGTATGTAGGTAGGTAGGTAGGTGAGTAGGTAGTTATGTATGTATCTCCCTTTCTTTGTTACTAAATGTCTTATCTCTTTGTGTTCTTAGTTTGTAAGAAAGGAGATTTTAATTTTAAAGTTTAAAATTACGTTTCTTGCCTCTTTTTTTTGTATAAAGTAGCAACAACATGATTTGTTTATGTATTCATAAGAATAGAGTTGAAGATGTTGAAAAGTTTTTAGAAGGAAAGGTAATGAGAAAAATAACTAGTAATAAGTATCTAGGGTAAAAATTGATGGGAACAGAAACAGGATATGGTTGTTGTTGTTGTTGTTGTTTTTCAAGGAAAAATTATTTTTTTATTATTGTCTCACTAATCTGATAGTAAACCTGTCATCTATTCAATTTATTACACTTAATATATCTTATATAATTTTTAAAAAATAAGTCATAGTATGGGTAGTTAGCAGTAGTTGAGAAGAAATGTTTGACTTTGGTTTCTTGCTAGTTGATATTCGTCAGAAAGACATATTTGTGATCATAAGGGAATGCCTCCAAATACCCTTGTACGGCCGAGAGTGGGAAGAGTCCGCTCTACCGCTCGAAATGATCTCACATGGCCACGCGTATATAGCCTCTACCAGGGAAGTCCTACTTACTGCCTTCTCGAAGCATTACTGTTGTTCACGAAATTGAGAGGACGATAAGCAAATATCTGGCGCTTTAACCAGGTCGGTGAACACAGCGAGTCCACCTAGGAGAGTTGGAAAACCCTGATTCCAAACCAATGGTACATATGGGATTCAGTATTCTGAGTGAACGAATGGCATATCAAGTTAAACGAAGTGTGTAAAGCCAACTTATCATGAATGAAGTCTGCAACTTATTGATCTTAATATGGTTGACATAAAAAAGTAGTTAAAACAATTGATTTTAAGCAATCGAGGGAAATATATTCTACTGCAGATATATTAATGATTCATTTCTTGTCTGCAACAATCATAGATATTCTATGTACCTACTCAATCTGTTTAACAAAGCACACAAGGATATAGATTTTATTATGGAACATGAAGTAGAATGTAAATTTCATTTCTTATATATTGAAATCAAACGAACTTCTGATGACACATTACTAAGATACATTCAGTGCAAAAATACCTAGAGTGGAGTTTATCTCGACTATAATAGTTTTTGTCCAATAAGTTACAAAAATAGAATTTGAAGCTCTCTTAAACTTTGCTCGAAGGGGAAAGCCTAGAACAACTTGCTTTCATTACCCAATCGCCTATGTGAAAATGCATATCCAGCGAAATTCATAGAGAACCAACCTACAGGTTAAATGGGATACAGGGGATAAGAAAACATGCTTCTTATATTTGTTCTTCAAAGGAGATAAAAACATTGAAATAATTAACAACAGGATAAATACCACTTTGAAGGTTGCTTATCTATCATCAGGACTGACTACATTGTGTGAAACGAGCAGCTCACTCAAACAAACAAAAATTGACAGGTCCTCTTTTCTCAGTACCTCCAATTGCATTATCCAATTTACATGTACGTGTCAAAGAACATACTTTTGGAAAAACAGAGGGAAGAGTATATGTTTGCATTTCCGAACACGTTCCAAAAGACTTGAGATTGAGAGGCGCAAGTGCTCTAAACAGTACAATAGCTTGGGATTTGCTTAACATCGGGCATACTATTGACATTCCACAGGCCTTCAAAATTATTAGCAGACAAAAAAAAAACAGTGCGCATTTACGATCCTGCCTCACGAGATTCGAACCCTTGCTCTCGAGCGCAGGGCGGGATCGTGGATGCTCAACATCTTCATCAGGTTCTAGAGTTATAAGTCCATCATTATTGTGCTATTTTTACAAGTACCTAAGTAATAAGGCATGGATTATTGAATTAGACAATGTTGTATTTTAAAAATGGTGAACGTTTGCATCTGTCATGGTATGACTGCTTCAAGATAGTGTCATTTGTAGATTAGATAGGTCATTTTATAAAAATCATGTGAATGAAATGCATTGTAGGAGAATTTCGTCTTGGTAATCATGGTAATAATAATAATGTTGTATGAACGTAATATGTAATAAGATAACCCTTATCAAGGTAATTACAATAAAAAAGAATTCATTTGGATTGAAGAGGATAAATGTGAAGATGAAAGAAGACATAAACAAGAAAAAAGAGAAATTGATAGGGGGATAAGAGGTTTATAATATATTCAGTTTAAGGTATTTGGTGATGCAGTCGTGGACCAAGATCGTATTCATATTATTCCTCATCAATGATTGTTCGGGCTTTATCCAAATTGATTTGAAGCTAGTTAGTTATAGACTTAAATCCTTTTTTTTATAAATAATTTGATTAATGGGTTAGTCATGGGGGATTTTCATGAGCACTGATACAGTGTTTAGCCATGTCATTCAAGGTCTCTAACCATCGGTTGCTATGGTTAGAGACCTTGAAAGACATGGATCAAAATCGTTTGCAATGGCGAAGGTGCATCCACTCTTTGTGTTCTACCAAATTCTAATCTTCTGAATTCTTCGTGTCTCAATCTGTTTTCTCTTTCCAAATTTATTTCACTGTATTAAACTCCATGAATAACATCTTCAGCCCCTAATCTTTCGGATTACTGCTTATACTCTTACTACTTCTACCACTATGGGATATGAATGGACAACTGCATCTCTGTGTTAATGTGGCATGGGAACTTGAACTGATGTACGTACGTACGAAGTTGTACATTGTGACTGACTGACAGTGTGTAGCTGAAAGCCTTGTATGTGAACATTTACTTATCATTACCAGGTTTGGCTACTGGAAATGAATACTTCTCAATAGTACACTTTAGTTATAATGGTTTGACATTTCTATATTGGTACGAATAATCGGATCGAGTCATGATTGCTTATGAAAACCAAGTTACTGATACAAAACATCTTAGACTATCTATGAAGTGACATTATAGTTGTTCTAAAGTAGATAGATAAACTAGACATTATTTTGATTTGTCAACCTTTTTGCAATATTGAAGGTCTACAATGAAATTTTTCCCGAATATTAAAAATTAACAATGGATATTATTGTTCCTCTTGTGTTTCTTTCAGTAAAAGTTTTTAAAGCATCAAATGTTTCCAATGATTCTTCAAGTATCACTAAAGATAGTTCCAATAAGAAAGGTGTTGTACTTATGGATCATTCAATGGTTGACTTTAAACGACCTGTTATGCTTCCAGTTGTATCTAGACGATTAGAGAATTTCAAACGACCGACAATACAACAACAACAACAAAATCATTTAAATCGAACATCTACCTTAAAACCGATTAATCAAAATTCTGAACATAGTTTACGACGTCCATCTGTGTTTGAAGGTATTTTAAAATCTGCTGCTGAAGCTGCTCAACACTGGAATAATAATAATAATAATAATTGTAATAATGATCATACATCAAGTGTTAAATTGTCATCAGAATCCAATGAAGAACAAACTAATAATGGTAATGCTAATGTCAGTAAACCTCTTAATGCTTGTTCTTCTTCTTCTTCGACGACAACGACAGAATCAACCACCACCACCACAACAACAACAACAATAACTAATCCTCATACACGTTTAGTACAACGTTTAGATTCAATGATTTCATTAAGACGTGAACAGAATGCATTATCTAATCTTACAAATAGTAATCATTCTAGTGAAATAGGATCATCATTTGATTTATCTACTTCATTAGATTATAATGATTATTTTTCCACTATGAATTATCAGCATCGGAAAGCAAATACATTAGATCGTCGATTTCCTCTTCCTATGGGAAGTCATGTAAGTGTTCTCGTATATCGTTTTATACTGAGTAATCCATTTTTGGAGAGGAAGGGTGCCATTTATATTTATTGAATTATATGTATCGAAATATATGATTGTATATGCTGACAATATTTGTTATACTGCTATTGTATTTTCCCATCTACAATACTAACTATGAATAGATTAAATTTCTGAGACTTCAATGCTTAACTTTATGTGAAATTCTCACCAGTGAGAGAGTAGTCGGCGGGTACACGGTTTGTTGTTTTTAAACTTTCAATCCCAATGAATTAACAATTAAACTATTTGAGTTGACAACACCGAAGTAATAATAAGTCACTATAATTATATAGCTACGGTGTTTTTAACAATAAAACTGAGCAATACATTTTGTAATTTATGAACGTTAGAAGACTTCTACAAGAGTTAATGAATTGAAACAGAGAACTTACAATTGGTAATGGCTTTATGGACGCATGACATTTTTTGGTTTGACCACTCTTAGCTTTCTTCCAGCCTAATTCTACACCGGGAAACATCACCCGTTGATGTATGCAGTGGTTGACGATGCGTAAAAAAATATTTCAACCACCTCAGTTAGTGGAGATTTACTACCTCATTAATCGATTTACCATTTTTTTTTACCTAGTATCTTATTCTTAAAGGTATTCTCAAAGGTCTTACTTACTATGTGTCCCCAAAATACACAAGATACCTATTGATTGAATTACAATGTAGCTTTTAGTAGTTTAAATGATGCAATATCCCGGGCATCATATTAAGATGTTAATTATTTGCAGGTATTTCGCATGATCTTAGAAACCTACCATTCGTCCTAGTTACCATACCTCAGTAATGAACATGAAAATTTAATCGATCAGGATTTTTATTATTATTGGTTTCGAACTTACATACATGTATATATGCCTGTGTTTGATTTGATATTAGTAAGTGAATTAGTGTGAAGATAGAACAAAGGGACCCCCAAATGTCTTGGTACGGCCAAAATCCCTCTCGAAATGCTCTCACATGGCCACACGTATATAGCTCCTGTCAGGGAAGTCATACTCACTACTTTCTCACCACTGAAGTGTTGTTTACAAAATTGAGAGGACGAAAACCCAATGTCCGGCGCTTTAACCGGGTTGGTGGACAAGGCGAGTCCACCTAGGGGAGTTAGAAAACCCTGATTCCAAACCAATGGTGCACATGGGTTCCAGTATACTGAAGGAACAAATGGCGTATGAATCAATCGTTAATCACCGGCTACCATGGGATTGCATCTCCTCACGATGTTCCACTGCCTTGTGGATCAGATTTTTCGGTCAAAAGCTCCGTATGTGGTCCCTCAAGAAAACCACCTGCTTCGATTTGGGCACCCGGACAGTATCATAACCCTCGCGCAAGTATGTGGTGCATATATATCTGGTAGCACTTTGTACCAATATTTATGTGTTTCAATAAATAACTAAATAGAATAAAGGGATAAAAATTCAGTTATCCTAATACTTTCAACAACAATAATAATAATGCTAATAATGAAAACTAGTTTGAAACTTCAAAAATTTCTGATTGAAATCAAGAATACATTACAGTTTTTCAGTTGATCAAGTGTGTTTATTTTAGTTATTGTAATCAGTAGTTAAAATATTTCACTATAAAAATCAAGTGTACACACAACTGTTTATGATGTTTTACGAGAGAGAGGGAGAGAGATAGACGGAGAAAAGTCAACATGATCAATTTTGTAGAATATGTAGCCAGAGGTAACATTATTTGATTGTATATGATAAATTGGAGGGGGGGGGTTGTGTGGGGTGAGGAGGGGAGGGGAGAAAATGGAAATAAACGTTTATTATTATTATTATTATTATTATTGAATGTATAAATTAAGTCTATAGATGAAGAAGTTAATAGTAGTAACTAATTTGAATTGTTATCTCTTCAATAAAGCTGTTGGGTAATAATAAACATGACAAACTATTTTTTTAAAAATTGAATGTTGAAAGCTGTTCATTGAATTGACAGATTAAAACAAAAGATTTTTTCGTTGTTATTCAAATGGATCAAAAATTAATCATTGATTACTATGGTTATTACTGTAATGAAATTACATAATTGAAATATTTATTTATTTAAAAACATAAATATTGGTACAAGGAAGCATCAGATACATATGCGCCACACAAATCTTATTTGATTTGTGTGATGGCTGTGGTACTGCCCAGGTGCCCAAATTGAAGCAGGTGATTTTCTTAGGAGGCCACACCCGGAGCCTATGACCTAAACGTCTAACCCATAAGGCAGTAGAGCATCGTGAGGAGATGCAGTCCCATGGTAGACGGTGACCAACAATTGATTCATACGCTATTTGTTCCCTCAGGATACTGTAGCCCTATGTTCACCATTGGTTTGGAATCAGGGTTTTCCAATTTCCGTAGGTGGACTTTCCATGTCCACCAACCCTGTTAAGCGCCGGACATCCACTTTTCGTCCTCTCACTTTCGTGAACAACACCGGTGCCACGAGAAGCCAGGGGTAGGACTTCCCTGACAGAGGCTATATACCCATGGCCGTATGAGAGCATTTGGAGAGGGACTGCGGACTCTCACCACTCTCGGTCGTACCAGGGCATTTGGGGCAGAAAATCGAAATAATTTTCAACTTTTCATTTTGATAAAAATTTGTTTATTTATTTGAACACTTAAACATTGGGACAACGGACAGAGGGGCACCAAATACATATACTCCATATAATAACAATGTGAATGTGAAGAGATAGAGGATGTAAAGTGAGTATCAGAAAAAAGAAGTACAATAACGAACAGAAATTAGTGTATGATAGGAGAAACAGTTCAGTTGGCAAAAATGAAACCAGAAAGAATTGTTTCAATTAAAGAAGTAACATTCGTTTTTGTAAAGAAAGTTACAACAGGATCACGGGCCATGTCTGATAATGTCTCAAGTCACTGCAGTGCACCATCTCTAGGGCCTCAACCAAGGAGTTGTGAAGAACTGACAGAAGTCAGTCCTGTACAGTTTCCTTTCATACCGCGACATCATGTCATACACTGACTACCTCTCTGCTTTTTCCGACCGGTTCCAACGTCAGCAAGTAATGCACGACATGAAATTCTCTCGGACGATATCCGTAAGACATGCTCAGGCCATCGATGTCTATGTTTCAAGTTAGTGACACTAATTGAATTATCGTCGCTGTGCTCGAACACACGATACCGAACCTCTGCATTACTAACATGATGTTGCCACTGGATGTCAGCAATCGTTCGGAGACAATGATGATCGAACATAGATAGTCGTCTAACATGCTCAACTCGAAGAGTTTAAGTTTCACAGGCATGGAGAAAAACTGCTCTTACCAACGCTTTGTAGATCCGATCTTTGGCAGCCAGACTAACATCATTTAGACGCTAAAGATAGCTCAGATTCGCATAATCCACTCTCGCTTTCACTATAAGTGAATTTATCTCATCACTCACGCCACTACCAGCACTTATATAGCTACCCAGATACTCGAACTTTTCAACTACTTCTATTTGCTCATTATTCAAGGTGAATGGAGGTTGATAAAAAACACTGAATGTTAATGGTCTCGTATGTTTTGCTATTCTTAGTTCACTGATTAAATGATTGTCGACAAACTGAATTATAAAAAAACTTTTGTTGATACATACCACTCTTGGAAAATAAGGAACATCTAATTGATTAATGAACCAAATTTCTAGATACTTTCAGATAATTTTTCAAGCAATGGAAATTATGTAACAAAGTTATTCACACAAATCATGAGTATATAGAAGGGGGGATATGATTAGTGTACCATGAATTTTAGAAAGTCTTTTTTTTTGTTCTACCACAGTTTGTGTACTTCATTGAACAAGTTCAGTATTTCAACAATATTATTACATTGATTAAATTCAAAGAGAAATTTCAGTTTTCAGTTAGTTCTTTATATATATCATGGTAAGGCTTTGCACAAATAAATTTATTTGTTTATTTAAACACATAAACATTGGTGCAAGGAGGTATCAGATATATATGCGTGACACTTATTTTATGTTTGCCTGAGGGTTGTGTTACTGCCCGGGTGCCCAAACCGAAGCGGGTGGTTTTCTTAGGGTGTCACACCCGGAGCCTTTGACCTAAATGTCTAACCCACAAGGCAGTGTAGCATCGTAAGGAGGTGCAGTCCCATGGTAGACGGTGACCAATGATTGATTCATACGCTATTTGTTCCCTCAGGATACTGTAGCCCATGTGCACTATTGGTTTGGAATCAGGGTTTTTCAAATCCCCTAGGTGAACTTTCTGTGCCCACTAACCTGGTGAAAGCCTCGGACATTCGCTTTTCGTGCTTTCGATTTCGTAAACAACAGTAATGTCACGAGAAGGCAGTGAGTAGGACTTTTGTGGCAGAGGCTATATAGGTGTGGCCATGTGAGAGCATTGCGAGAGGGAGGGTGGCTCCACCCCACTCTCAGTCATACTAAGGCATTTGGGGACACAGGTAAATATCAGTTCATATTACTACACTTGACAATCGAAGAAATTGTCATCCAAATTATTTACTCATTCAAAGCATTAACCTTTAGTTCGGTAATAATAATATCCGTTGTAATAGTAGTATTCATTTTTCAACTGTGGAATTTAAATTCGCAAATCCCCGGTTCACACCCGGGTGCCCCTTTTAATTTTCCCCCAAATTCCCTGGTACGGCCGAGAGTGGGGAGAGTCAGCTCTTCCTGTCGAAATACCCTTACATGGCCACGTGCATACAACCACTGCCAGGGAAGTCCTACTCACTGCCTTCTCATGGCGGGGGTGTTGTTTACGAAAGTGAGAGGACGGAAAGCGAATGTCCGGTGCATTAGCCAGGCTGGTGGACATGGAGGGTCCACCTAGTGGAGTTGGGAAATCCCGATTGCAAACCAATGGTGTACATGGGCTCCAGTATCCCGAGGGAACAAATGGCGTATGAGCAAATTATTGGTCACCGGTTACCATGGGACTGCATTTATTTACGTCTTGTGGATCAGACCTTTACGTCGGAGGCTCAAGGAGTGTGGTGCATATCTATTTGGTGCCCCCTTGTACCAATGTTTATGTTTTTAAATAGTAATAATAATCTTACTATATTGGGATGTATTTAAGTAGGTGGTTAGTACAAATCAACTACACTTCGAAGCAGTATAAATCATAATTGAACGCATAGATGTTTATTCCGTAACTTTGGTATTGCACGTCATAGTCCTAGTAGGTCATAATCACAGAGATTCGTAATATCCCCAACCCAGCACTCAAGCGTCTGATCTAAACAGGATTTCTTACCAATTAGTGGTATACATCGGTTTCAGATTTTTGGTCTTGGTTGTCTTCAAAACATTGTTTGTGTCTTGAGGAACTAATTAATGAGAAACGTTGAGGTCAAGTATTTGGCACTAAATAAGTGTCAAATCAGTTGATGAGGTTGTAAATCTTCATGAACTGAGGTTGTTTAGAATATGTGTTATGTATGTCTAACCACTACCTAATTTCTTGACATGAAATGTTTGCTGATATAGGAGAAGGCTAAAAAAAAAAGCTAAAGGTGGCTAAACTAAGACACGATATCAGTCTATCAAGTCATTGAGTGTTGGTATAAGCCATGTTGTTAGATCAGCGGTTGGAGATATTCAATGACATGATTTAGAATTGTTCACATTGACTTTTATTCTGTATCTTCCTCTAGACCTTGGTTCTTGGTACTCTTTCATTCATACCTTTCCACTCTGTTCTTAGTACTACACCATTTGGATCTCTTACCTTTTTCACGGTATTTTTTTTTTCATCTATTTGTGGCAATGTAATATATTACAACTTTGGACGGTGGTCCCATTTGTCTCAACCTCTCAATTGATAATAACTAGTCCTTTACTTTCATACCTTTTGAATGGAGTTATTTCTAATTTTCTCTTCAACTTTTGTTTTTCCTTCTATCATATTTTAGAATTTGAAAAATCCCTCTCAATCTACAGATCCATATACTTTGAAACTGTTGTTATCATTATTACCTCCAGTACCATCTACATCTACATCATCATCATTATCATCATCAGTATATTTAAAAAATGTAAATAGTTTTGATGATAGTAAACCAAAAAAATTAACATCCCTTTCATCATTTCATAAACATTTCAACAAAAAATTACATCGTTCTTTATCTAATTCATCAACTGGTACATCATTTAAAACAATAAGAATCTTTAGTAAACATTGTTCCTATGATGATAGTAACCAGGATATATTACATGAATTTCATTCATTACCTAATCGTTATCATTCATCTAATATTGAAATTGAGAAAGTAATCAATGATGTATATCATTCAAAATCACTTTCAACAACTGCATTATTAGCTGAAACTGATTTACGTCAATTATTAACCATGAAAGTATCTAATGTTATTAAACGTAAAGCATCTAATGTAAGTCAACATTCAAATCAATCACAAGTAAAATGATAATGATGGTAATCATAATTATTGATTCTACTCATTACCCTCCATCCCTTTCTTTCTTTCTTTCTTTCTTCTCCTCCTCTCTCTTTCTCTCCATTCTACTTATATTCAATAAGTTGTTTATATTTAACTGTTGTCATGATTAAATCTCATCCTGATTGATTGATTATTGTTTTTTTAAAAAAAAAAAGAAATCAAAAGATTCACTGTATTCCTTGTTTGTTTGTGGATTGGTCGAAGTTAGATATTAAAATCATCGAATGCTGGCTTAGTGGCCTAATGGTTGGGTGCTCGCGCGCAAGATTGATAGGTCCAGGGGTTCGAATCTCGCGAGGCAGGATCGTGGATGGGCACTGCCACTGAGGAGTCCTGCAATAGGACGAAATAGCCTTAAAGCAGTGCTTACAGGTTTTCCATGGTAGTCTAGCTTCAATTGATTCATGATTTCAACTGTGAAAATATTGAAATCTCCACAAAACCCCTTCTGTTTAATTTTCCTTTTTTGTATTTTCTTTTCAATTTTTCTTTTCTTGATGTTGATTCGCTTGTTGTATCCATAATTCATTATATGAAAAAAGGATTCTATTTCCTATTATGTTACTACGTAACAGTCGCTATGATTATTATTACTGTTACTATTAAAACTGATCAAATAAATTGTAATAAGATGAATAAATATGTTCTTTCTATTGATTCATTCTTTTCATTAACATCATAATTCATAGATATGAGTATTGTGTGTGTGTGTGTTTCTGTGTATGAGTCAATGGGATAGTAGTATAGTGCGAAACGAAAATCTTATAATTCCTTTTTCTACCACTTACTGATATCATCTATTGATAAACTTGAAGTCACTAACTTTTCGTTTGGGCCAAGTTGATAGATGCAGACTAACTGGTTGGGGTCTGTGTGAATATCGACCAAAGTAACTACTCCTATGAATTTGGTGTTCATCTTGTTATGCTTATGAGGTTATGGCAACTTGGACGCCGATGCGTATATATGCCTGGTCGTACGTTGTAGCTGACTGACTGAACTTTTAAAAATTTAAGATTCTGAGCCATTTTTATGTAAAATGATCTAACCATTGGTTATAATTATAATTAGATTGATCTCAAATTTGTTGTAGTATTCACTTACTTACATGATACAGTACCATGATCAATGACTTCACATTTTGTTTTGGCTACTTTTAGATTCTGATAAGTCTTGCTGATTGAACGCTATATTCCGATCCTAAGCTAGTTTCGTAACCCCCAAACTTAATCTACAAAGTGACTTGAACACGAGAGAAAAGGCACAAAATATGCGAAAAGAACTTTACTCTAAAGGTTCATTAATGTACAGAAAATATAAGGTTTTTATAGTATTTAAGAAGTCCTTGGATTTTTCTGAAAATTCTAGAATACTACTAAACTTAGTATCAGTGTAGTAATCAGCCAATCAGAACCTCTACATATGACTTTTCACTTTGGCGATGTTTCTAGCAAAACGTCTAGTGAACACTGATTGGATAGAATACCTCTTAGTATTTCCTGAACTTTTCATATCTATTGCGAGAAATTTTCAGCATCATCCCAGCAGATTCATTTTAGCCTACTACTATTACTACTACTGCAGCGAGAAATATTGTCCGTTGAGGTCGGTGGGATTTGGAGATGTACTGTGTATGTTCTATATACTTGAGTCTGTTAAAATTCACCGAATAATACTACTCGAATGAAGTAATTAAGTTATATTATGATTAGATAATAGTTGAATTCTTCTGTTGTTGATGATTTTGATGGAATTTTTTTCAGTCAGTTAGCAGATACATCCAAGCTGATGATTTCGAAATTGTTTGAAACTCGCGTTCTGGACTCCTCTGCTATCTATAAATCCATCTATTTTATAGAAAATAGTAATTAATTTACTTTCTATGTATTCACGGAGAGAGTAGTCATGCACATGGATTAAACTGAGGTGAATTCATACTTATTAGTAGTTGTAACAGAAATAAATAATCAATTGTGTTTAATTAAGCGAAACACTAATAATTTAATAGTTGAATTCATGACTCAATTAAAGCTAGACCACAATGGAAAACCTGGAAGCACTGGACGGCTGATTTGTCCTAGTATGGGTCTCTTCAGCAGTGCGCATCCACGATTCCGCTCGCGGTATTCAAACTCAGGACCTATCTGTCTCGCGCGCGAACGCTTAACCTCTAGACTACTAAGATAGCATCCCATGGTGTTAATGTCTAACTTCAACCAATCCACGAAATTGGGCAACTGTTTACCATTGTCCTCAGTGAGCTGCTATCTCACAGACGCCCCGACAAGTAGTTCCGATTATTAACCAACTTACTCCTTTTGCACGGATAAGGGTTTTACTGGAATTCAGAAATATGCGTTATGTGTATGTGGAATACGAATACGGTGATTGTATGTTTATGATTGACTGCGACAGGTCTTATAAGGTAGAAACAAGCAATTACGAGTGCAACTATCGAACGTTTGTAACTAGCTGGTATCCTTACCGTTATATGTTCTGATATACACAAGGTGATGAAGTCCTACAGATAATCTCAACTAATTATGAAGTATAAACCGCATACTTAATCATATTCTTAGACACTGCAGTCGATGGAAAATAGATAACAGACATACCTTCTATAATCCCACAACAGTTTCTCTCCCCAGGCAAACTAAACAGTATGCACAGGCTCAACGAAGCAAGAAAATACACAAACAACGAATTGTAGATAAATATGATGAACACTTTGTGATGCTAGTAGAGAGAAAAGTTTACAATTATTATTTAAGTAACACTAATAACTGACTAATGAGAGAATTATTACCCAGTTACCCAGTTCTGTCATTACCCAGTCAAGACAATCCTACTGTACGAAGCTGAAACGTGGAGAACTACTGCAACCATCGTCAAGAAAGTTCAAATATTTATAAACAGTTGTCTATGCAAAATACTCAACATCCATTGTCCGGATACTATCAGCAACAGCGTTTTATGGGAGAGGAAAAACCAGCTTTCAGCTGAAAAGGAAATTAGGAAAAGATGTTGGAGGTGGATAGGACACAATTAGAAAATCACCAAACTGCATCACGACTCAATCCCTAACTTGGAATCCGGAAGGGAAGCGGAAAAGAGGAAGGCTAAAGAACACATTACGCTGAGAAATAGAATCAGATATGAAAAGGATGAATGTTAACTGAAAAGAACTGGAAAGGAAGGCTCAGGACAGAGTTGGATGAAGAATGCTAGTGTGCGGTCTATGCTCCTCGACGAGGGGTAACAAGCGTAAGTAAAAAAGTAAGTAATTAAGTAAAATCACTGGGTAAGACTTCAGTTTCACTAACGCTTATTTTATGTAATTTGTTTTACAACAAAAAAAAACATGACTTGGGAAATGAGAAAGTATGGTTACGTGGCAAGAACTTTGTTTACTACTAGAAGTTCTTTATGGTTGTAGTTTTTGGCTTACTTATATGTACAACGTGTAAACATATCTTAACGAGTAACTGTTTATGACAATTAGGAACATCTATTTGCTTCATATAAGTACCCGTTTCTTTATGAAAAACTTGTAATAGTGCATCAGTTTAAAAGTTTCACTAAACTATTGCATTGTATAAATAATCTCCTTCACTATGATGATAGCATATTCAGGTGAATACTAACAAGATTTATAATGAAAAACAATACGAACTTTCATCAGTCCCTCACGGGAGCTGAGATGCTACGAATTCTTCGCTTGTAGTATGCTTCTGTAAAATATTTAAAGATTTCATATAGTTGTTATATTTATATTCAAATCGTTCGTCAGATGAATAAGCGTTGGAGTGGTCAGTCATGCACAGTTATCGTCAAATTTTTTATTCACATAATTTCCTATACTTGGGAATTCGTTAAGTTGTTCACTTGTATAGACTTGCATATTAGAAAGGTTTAAGCATTTCTATTAATTGACAGAAGGCATAAGTTGCATATCAGAAAATATATGAATAGCTTACCAACTTAATCAATGCAATTCTAAAGAAAAAAGCAAACGGTTATGAGTATCAAATTCATTATTTAGGTTATTATTATTTATTTAAACACATAAATATCGGTACAAGAAAGCACCGGATAAATATGCGCCGCACAAATCTCATTTGATTTGTGTGAAGGCTATGATACTGCCCAGACTGAAGCAGGTGGTTTTCTTAGGAGGCCACACCCCGAGACTTTGACCTGAAGGTCTAGTCCACAAGTCCACAGAGCATCGTGAGGAGATGCAGTCCCATGGTAGCCAGTGACCAACGATTGGTTCATATGCCATTTGTTTCCTCAGGATACTGGATTTCATGTGCACCATTGATTTGGAATCATGATTTTCCAACTCCCCTAGATGAACTTTCTTTTTCCACCAACCCGGTTAAAGTGCTGGACATTCGCTTTTCATCCTCTCAATTTTGTAAGCAACACTTCAGTGGTGAGAAAGCAGTGAGTATGACTTCCCTGGCAAAGGCTATATATTCGCGTGGCCATATGAGAGTATTTCTAGAATGAGAGCTGACTCTCTCCTCAATCTCGGCCGTACCAGGGCATTTGGGGGCCATTACTTAGATGGAATAGTAACTAGCAGAATGTAACTATAATTGCCTTATTTGTTGCAAACAATATCCTTCATTTACTAATCCTCTTACAATTTTAACTAGTTGTTTAATATTTGCAAAGAAATTGCAAGCACCAAATAAACTGATTCAAGAACTTTGAATAGTACTATGGAATTGGAGAAAAATCCAGTTGCAACGCTTATAATACTACCATTATTATTATTATTATTACTATTATTAGCTTTATTCAATATTATATTATTAGTACAATATAGAATTCTTAGCACAATGTAGTTCTTGATCGATTCTGACGACAAATATTGAGTGTTTGCCAATTGGAAGTTTGTAGTTCAGTCAATCCACATCTAATGTAATGTACATTCTTTTTGTTGCATATTGCCTGCAAGAAACCATGATATCTGTGATTGGGTGTTTGTAACTTGTGCAATGATAGGTCTTACACTTATCAGAAACGCATCTGAATAGATTATGATAATAATAATAATAATAATAGCCATAATGATGTATTAAAACAAACAAAATAAGATAATTTGTTAAAATATCTAGGTGGAAGGAACAAGTAGTACAGATATTCAAACAGGTCACCGTAACATTTACATACAACAGCACTGTTTAAATATTATTCATTTATTTGCATTATATCTTTGTTTATAATTTCATCAGTGATTATAGATTATGCTTATAGAAATTTATTGATAATCTCTATAATAGACACATCATAGATTCGTATTCATTAACAATATAGTTCAGTTACTATGTTTGAGAATACCATGCATCGTTTTTACTTATGAAGTATAGGTCAATTACAGTGACAGTCATATGTTCAGAAAGCGGAAAGAAAAGGCTATTAACATCAATTATTACTCATATGGTTTTTTTCTTTCTCAGATGAGTAACATATTCATATGCCAGTTTCGTCAAAAATGATGATATTTACAATGGTTAAAATTGTTTATGATTGCATAGTAGAAATTTACATAATGTTCTGGAATAGTTTAACACAGAACTACCTCAATCTGTTCACTAAGTATTGTTTATTTGAATCAGGACTCAGTGGCCGAGTGGATAACGTG